TATTTCCTGTTTTCTTGACAGTGCCATCCTAATGGGGGTTAAGTGGTATCTCACTGTAGTTTTGATTTGCATTTCCCTAATGACTAGTGATGTTGAGCATTTTTCTATGTGCTTATTGATTACCTGTGTATCTTCTTTGGACATAAGTCTGTTCAAGTCCTTTCCCATTTATGAATAGGGTTGTTTGTTTTTCTAATTATTTATTTATTGAACACCTGCATAATGTTTACTGTGCGGCAGGCATGTAACTGTGTGTTAATCCTAATAACTCATGAGGCAGGTGCTGGTTTTCTCGTGAGAAGCCCAGGTACACCTGGCCCAAGGTCACACAGCTGCAGGCTATGGACCCAGGAAACCTGGTTCCCAAGTTCATGCATGCAATTTCTGGGCTCTCTTGACATACGAAGGATGGCCCTCCCACCAGTTCTCTCTCAATCCTCTGGCAAGCCCTGGACATTTAATTTTTCTCTGCCATCTGAGAGGTCACTTGGGGTCAGAAAGTCTTAAGAGTCGAAAACAAGGTGGCTCAGACCCAGGAGATTGCTATGGCCTGTGCCTGGGAAGCAGCCCGTAATTCTATGAATGTAAGAAATCTTATGCTCCCATTTCCCAAGAGTTCCAGAAACAGTTCTTCTTGGACTAGAATTGTTTGTCCCATTCAGTGTATTCTCTGCAAGGAATTTCACTGGAGAAGGAGCAGAAGACACAGGCATAAAACTATGAGATGTGGGAGCAGTTATTTTGAGGAAAATGTGTCTTGAGGACTCTCTGCCCAAGCAAATTTAAAAATAAGCAGGTTTCCGATGTCTAAGGATGGGCTGATCCCTGAGGTTATTGAGTAAAAAGTCAACACTGTAAAGTCAATTATACTATTGACAGATACTCTTCCAAGGAGATTACACATCATAATTATATGCAAAGGAACCCAGCAAATACAAGCTGTGTAATGATCAGCTAATAAAAGTAACACTTCATCTATGTCAATAACAGTTTCAGAGTTAAGACAAACAAACATGGCCTTTGCCACTCAGTGAAGGAAAAAAAAAATCCCTGAAAGACAAATATTTTCACTTAAGGAGAAGTTGCTTAGACTCACACAGAAAACCTGTCACACAAAGCAGAGTAGGAAACAGGTCTTCAGGGGGTGCTAATGACTTTCTGGCCCTCCTGCCAGCCTCAGCTGAACTGATGGGGACAGCAACCCCTGTAAACATGTGAACCCCCAGGGTCACCCTTGGTCACTGCCACGTGGTCTGGCAGATGACGTTTGCTGTTGTTCTATTCTCTGCTGGACTGTTTTCCCTTTAACCTTAGTTGAATTTAGGTTCAACTGACACATGGCCAAATTAAAAAGAATTGCAATTGCAATGAATGTGAAAAAGCAAAACAAGATCCCCCCCTCCCCTCCAAACACTCCTTTTTTTTTTTTTTTTTTTTTTTTTCCCTTGCGTTATGCGGGCCTCTCACTTCCAAACACTTCTTAATGGGTTTTACACAGTCTCCCGCAAATACCCACCTAGCTATGTTTATATTCATTTTTCCTGAGAGTGTCGCACTGCCTCCTATTTGGGCCATAAAGAGGGCAAAGGTATTATACGCAAGGGTCCCTGATCTTCCAGAGCCTGTGACATTCCTCTCCCGAATGTCTCTTAAACTGAGGTGGGAAGTGCAGAATTGGTATTTGGATAATGGACTGCTAATGCACAATGGTTTTTCTGTATCTCTATTTATGCAAATGGGAACTTGTCTAGTTTCTGCAAACTGCGGTTGTACATTTCACTGAAATGATTCTGCTTAAACCTCCTGTGATGTTGAGGAAGGTCACTCTTCGACTACGAGCGCTTTTGTAGGGGGACAGACGTTATGAAGCTATTGTCACTCAGCCCCAACCCCAGACCACTGTAGTGTTTCGTAAGCTGGGGCAGGCTGGGCTGGGCAAGCCACATTTCAGCAGCACTCCTGGCTCTGCCTTCGAGAGACTGGGAAGGGGGTGGAGGAAGAGGGGACACACTCCTCCCTGTGTGCTTCCTGTTCCTGCATCACCCCAGCAATGCCTCTTCCCCTCTGCAGCGCCAGTTCATTCCTATAGTAGCTGCTGAATCCAGTTTGTGATTCTTCCAATACTGGAGACCCAACGTCTTCAGGTTCCCTGAGAGGTACGTGCCCGAGCAGGAGCTTTCTCCTTAGAGACACCTCTGGTCCTTCCACGGGTCCCTCCTCTGAGCTCAGAGATTCCAGCCCAGCTCAGTGGTACCTCCTAAGAGGTCTGGATCCCAGCCCCAGCCCCTCCTCTGAGGTCTGAGGTCCAGTTTTGAGAGGCAGTCATTCCAACCTCACCCGAGGGGATGTGGCTACTTTCTACAACTGTTTCCTCCGTGATACCCTGAGTTCTCTGTTACCCTTCCCGTTGCCTGGTTAATAACTTTCTACCTGGTTAACGGTGCTTTATTTTGAAGTCTCTCTATTCGAGTACCTAGTGTGGCTTCTGTCTCCCAACTGGATCTGACTGATGCATAGGTCTAGCCCTGAACCTGTTTGTGGTCTTTTACTGTGGAAGGAGCCTAGGTGAGGCACTGGCTGGACTGGATGAGTAGCAACTCTTTTACCAGAAACAGGACATCATTGTTTTGCTGTAGTGCTATGTTATCTTCTAACCAGAACATAACCAGTTAAAAAAAATTATATTTTAGGGCTTCCCCGGTGGCGCAGTGGTTGAGAGTCCGCCTGCCAATGCAGGGGACACGGGTTCGTGCCCCGGTCCGGGAAGATCCCACATGCCGCGGAGCGGCTGGGCCCGTGAGCCATGGCCGCTGAGCCTACGCGTCCGGAGCCTGTGCTCCGCAACGGGAGAGGCCGCAACAGTGAGAGGCCTGCGTACCGGTAAAAAAAATAAATAAATAAAAATAAATTATATTTTACATAATGCTTCTAGAGGCTAATCAGTAAATTTTTGCAATAATATATGCCATGAGGGTAATAATTAAAATTAGGAGCAGCTCC